GACCTTAGCCCTACATCCGCCATTTCCTGTTTTGGATTATTAAAGTCCTGTTTCTGACACCATGTCTAAACACATTGTTTACTAACAGATGGATGTATTCATTTCTTACTTATGTTTAATTATCTTTGACGTTATAGTTATTATTGAATATTGATCGACTTACGCTTACGCTTGTGAAATAATAATTATAAAATAAACAATGTTATGTACCATGCAGTTCTTGCAAAAGAAAACTATTTAGTAAATTGCTAAATAGTTCTTCAATTATCAACATAGTATTAAAATAAATGAAAACACTGTATATTAATTTAACATTGCACAAAACTTATTTTGAAATTAAATTTTTGGGGGGAGTGGTTTTTGTGAATATTTTTTAAACTTGTTGTTAAAATCTTCTTAAAACCAGTCATAACTGGGGAGAACGTGTTCGCTAATCATGTTTCCAAAAGAAATTGAAACGAAATAGCTAAATTTTAGAGAAATAATTTTTTTTTTAATTTTGGCCAATCCAGATCAAAATTAAACCGATCCCAACCATAATTGTACAATTATTGGAAATAAATAGCATTTCCCCAAGAACACTAGTCTGATTAGGTGTAATAAGGGTTAAAGCATAATTGTAAATACATGAAAGAGGCAATAAATTAGTATTTTATTCATTTTGTGTTAATTGTGATTGGGATCAATTTAATTTTGATCGGGTTAAGTCCAAGTATTAAAAAAATTAATTTCTCTAAAATTTCTCAATTTCATTTCAATTTCTTTTAAAATATGATTTATACACATGTTCTCCTCAGTTGTGACTAGTTTTATGGTGTTTTAACCATAGGTTTAAAAAATATTCACAAATAATGTGCTTTATTTTCAAAAATAATTTTTCATAAAAAATTTTAAAAGTTTAACCAGCCTTTCTTTGCATAATTTATTAGATATTCATACGATGCATTCATTTACAACAAACTTTTAACTTAAAAACTTCATATTAAGATATAAATATTTTTTTTTTCATTTTCTTTGAAAAAATTCAAAAAAATTAATATAAAATAATTAAGAGCTGAAACCATTGTTTAAAAAGGATGACTCAAAGATCTATAAAATAAAAACTTGGTGTATCATTCCACCTTAAGAATTTAAATTATAAGTAGAATGGATGTATAAATTTATAAATTAAATTGATATTACTGACTTTAAAAAAGGCGATTTTTAAAGATTTCTAAAGAGATTTTTAGAGTATTTAAGAATATACATTTGTTTTGCACCCCTTCTAGAATATGCTCCACCATATGTCTGAATTTCTTCTGAATAGCAGTTACTATTTTTGTAAGACGTAAGGATATAGTCTTAATAGAGCATTTGCTATAAGCTTCAATGCATTTCTGTCTTGATTTTTTTTTAGGATAGATCAAACTCACCTTGTTTTACGGGAATATTAAGTAAATGTTTTAAATACCAAATGTTTTTTGAAAAATTTCATCTTCAGAAACTAAAACGTTGGATTTCTAAAAGAATTAATACCAATTCTTCCAAATAATTGGCATATAATATTTAATCTGTTCTCAGAATTATGAAACTTCAAAAAAGAATTGCAAAAGCTGTTTATTTTTTAACATGGAGAAAAGTACAGCCTGTAGTACATATAAATATAACCTTAAAGGGTACATGTACCTAAGATATTGTGGAATTCTGGCAATTGATTTTATTCTCTGTCGAGAGAATAAAATAAATTATGTAAGCATTCAAAATATTGAATGGGTCTAGCACCTCTTCTTCTCGTTTTCTGGTTTTTGCTACTTGGGAAAAAAGGATGAAAACTTAAGTAAAGTATCCGATAGATAATTGCTAGTCTAATTTTTAATTAAAAAAGAGGTGACATTTTAAATTTATATCCTTTTGTTTATTAAGTTTTATAATGTTGGAAAATTCACTTAAGTTTGAAAATTGTGTTAAAATACATACCAACTTTTGTGACCTAAGGTCTTCAGATATGAAAAATATCATTTACTAGGAAACAATTTCCTAAGAACATTAATTGACAAATAAAAATCTTCTTTTCTGAAAGACAGTCTGTAAAACTTGTTCTTTTCTCGCAAATTGTTATGACACTGTGTTCCTTCTAAATCGACTTCAGAGAGGAATAAACATCGCCATGAACCCTACCTGTATTGATCAGGTATAGGCGTGCAGACCGTAGTCAAATTGTGTATAAAACAAAAGTCTAGCAGTTGGTATGAAACAAGACAGATAAAATATGACCTAATCATAAGTTATATTTTCGAACAAGTCATTATCATTACGACCATATGATTTATGAAAGTTTTTCATAAATTAGATTTTGCTGACTCTCTGGTTTATTTTATTCAAGTTCCCTGGGATAAATCGAATTGACAAACATGTATGAATGATATAGCTATTGTTAATTCATCCTCAATACCTCTAAATGTGGAGTTGAAGCAAATGTTTTCTCCTCCTCATTTAGAAGTTTTTTTTAATAAATTTTGCTTCATAGGAAATAAAAGTAGGTCAGTTGATAAAGGGGCATAATTAGCGTCCATCGGAATTCCAACAGTTTGCTGGAAGACATGGTCTCCATAGAATAAATACAAGTAAATGCTGTCAACGAGGAGTTTCAGAATCCTTTAACAGCATGTTCATAGTGCTTTTTTTGTAGAATATGAGTGATTTTAATAAAGTATTTTTTTTAATGACAACATAGAAAAAATTTCCGACTTTCATATCTTATTGGATAAGCAGTTGTCCATATATGCTATCATAATGCCTAGTTTGTAATTCATCATGAAGAATGGTTGAATAAATTAAATGCTGGTGTTACGTACTTTGAAAAAAAAATTCAAAGGTTTTTTTTCGAGTAGTTTTAAGAATCCACAGATTTACACCACTTCTAGAATATGCTGTAGCATAGTCTATAGTACCCATGAATATAGCCTTAAAGGGTACATGTCCCTAATATACTTTGAAAGTACAACAATTGATTTTAATCTCTTAGAAAATAGTAAAAACAACCCTGACATAATCATATTCACAATACTTAATGTTTCTAGCATCTCTTCTTCTTGCATTCTGTTTCTTTCTTCTACTTTTAACAAAAGATTGATAATGTAAATAAAACATCCGTAAAAGAACTGCTAGTCTAGTTCTTGGTAAAAAAAAAAAAAAGAATTTTAGATTAATATCTTTTTGTCTATTAACTTTCAATAATGTTGAAAAATTCTTATCTAGCACTTAAGTTTGTATGAAGTGACATAAATATCTTACAATTTTTTATGGCATAAGGTCCTTTGTATTTTTTGAACCATTTAAGCAAAGACAGCTTTATAAATTAAGATTAATGATATTGTCATTTTCTTTGCTTGTTGATTTACCATGATTGGGGGAACAAGTTAACACAATTTGAAACAAAAACATTTTTTTCAAAGTGCGTTTATGGATAAATTTTCGGTGATGACGTCACTTAAGGATCTGAGCTTTCGTAAAAAAAAAAATGATATGTACACTCTTACTGCACTTTGAAAAAAAATCAAGTTGCATTGATTTTTCCCAAAGTTTAACACACTTTTTTAAAACTGCCTTGAATTTGTCCCATTTTTAATGCAATTTGAAAATGTTTATCAATAACGCGTATTTTTTTCAAAGTGCATTGTCACAATGCTTATATAATGGTAATTTAAACAACCATCGTGCACTTCGTCTTATGCCAAATATTGCTGGAGAGTTGCATGTCCTTCATATAAAGTTAATAATGTCTGGCGGATAGTATTGAGATTATTTTAACACGTTTTTGTTGGCAGCAAAGATAAGTCTATCTGTGTGTCTGTCTGTGATTACTAGTACCTCTTGGTAATTACACATGGAGCAATGGTGCAAAGAAATATCAGTATATGGAGATAACGAACAGTATTCGAGCTCAAAAGTCCATAAAACATTACAATCAAATAGGAGCAATACTTAAATTTTACAATATTATATAATATTAAATATAGTATATCAATAAATTAAATCATATTATTTTGTCTACATTTGATTATAGAAATAATAAATCATTTAAATATAAAGAAATCGTACATTTTTTTGAAATAGTGATTAAAATTGAGACTTTATTTCGTTTTCTGTATACTAGTAATTCTATCGAAAAATTGCACAAGTTTTAACCTTGTGACGAAATCGTATAAAATTCTCCCTCTTAATTCAGGTTACGAATTTAGATATGCATGAAAATCTATGACAAATACCGCTGATTTCTGAAAACGTTTGTGTCTGTTATTATTCCTTAAAACAACCCAGAGAAAATACTTGAAAAGGACGTAAATGGTAATCTAGCAACCAAGCTCTATGATAAACGTGATGACTTGAACTTTTCTATCGTCAGCTTCCCTTACTTATGCAGCAATATACCTTCATCACCTGCATACGGAGTTTATTTATCTCAGTTAATTCGATACGCAAGAGCATGCTCTACGTATAAACAATTTCTGAAACGAGGCAAGTTATTGACAAGCAAGTTAATGAAACAAGAATATCAGCGATCTCGTTTCAAGTCATCATTTCAAGTTCTATGGTCGATACAATGACCTTGTCAGCAAATACAATTCATCTTTGAGTCAAATGCTGACTGACGTTTTTAATACTAATTGTTAGTCCATTATTTTTACACTAAATAAACGACGGATTTTCCGTAATTTCCCGATCATGACAAGGAAGCACACGGCGGGTTTGACCGCTCCTCCTTCGCACCTGATCCCACCTCTGATGTTTTGGAGGTCCGAGTTTGCTCTGCTCCTATTTTGTATTGTTTTATGGACTTTTGATCTTGAAAACTTTTCGTTATCACCATATATTTCATTGAAGAAATCTGAATTCTTCGAAATTTGTTTTCATTTCCGCACTTAACATGATCAGAGTGACAAAATATGGTTTTAGTGTGTAATATTCTCTGTATATTGCATCCCGTCTATTGTAGAAAGTACGAGCACTAGGGACTCAGGGACTGACGTGATATGATTGTGAAATGCGTTTATAAATATGAGGAAAAGATAAGGAAAATGTTCGGAATACCACGTTTGTACATTTTCTCTATTTTGTGTGAGTATATTTAAATCCAGATTCCTAAAATCGTCAGAACTCGACAGAAACACTTTAAGCTTCCTTTTATTTTTTAATTTCATAATATTTACTCTAAACAGGCGCGGATCTAGAAATTTTTCAAAAAGGGGGGAGTTGAAGGGAAGGGGGGGGGGGGCTTGAAGGGGAAAAGAGTTATAAAAAGGTATGTTTTACATATACACGTAGTTAAATAACTCAGTAGGATACAGGATGGAGTATGGTTTTTAAAAGTGGGAGGCTGGTCAACCTGGGAAAAAATACCTGTATGGATTACCTGAAAGTTTTAAGAAAGGAAAATAAATCTTCGAAAACGAAAATTCCATTTTGTAAAGGGTGTGGGATGTTTCATTTTGTTTTCACAACCGAATTTCTAGATATATATTATATACAACATTAACTTTTCAATGAACATTTTCTATAGTAAAAACACAACACAAATTTGGGACTTTCTTCTTTCTTTCTCTTTTTTGCAAATCCAAAGGGTGGGTGGGGTTGCAAAACCTTTAACCCCCCCACTGGATCCGCCACGGCTAAATATAATTACTTTTGATATAAAAAATATGTTGTATATATGAGTATAGTGTCACGATTTCTTTCCGTTCGCAGATTACAATTATACACCAACAAAACTTTTTTTTTAAACCTAAACATTTAAGGTCAAAGTCGCCATGATTTTGGTTATGACATAGTAATTAATTTCTCATGAGCAAACAGATATACATGTAAATGATCTATAAACGATTTATTAAATCAGTGTAGTAAGTGTGATCTTTTTCTCTGTGTTGTATAATTCGCCCTATTACAGTGATGACTAAGTCTCTGTATTTTAGTAAGACTTATAATATGGATGAACGACATGAATTCTTTGTCTTTTGGTAGAACCAATCTGGGGTTATACTAGTAATGATTACAAACATTTTTATCTTTCTGTGGAACTAGATCGGGTTACAGTAATAACCGACATTCTTTATCAGTGGAACTTGCTCGAGTTTTATAGCCATAAATAGAGGATATCTATCAGTAGAGCTTCTTTATCTTTCAAGAGAAATATTAGTGTCAGGTTATGTTGACGACTGGCATTAATTATCGATGAGATCAATGACTTTCTTTATCTATCAATAAAACTAGTGTGTGGTTATATTGATAACTGACGTCATTTATCTATCAGTAGAACTAGTGTGTGGTTGCATTGATAACTGACATCATTTATCTATCAGTAGAACTAGTGTGTGGTTATATTGATAACTGACATCATTTATCTATCAGTAGAACTAGTGTGTGGTTACATTGATAACTGACGTCATTTATCTATCAGTAGAACTAGTGTGTGGTTATGTTGATAACTGACATTCTTATCTATCAGTAGAACTAGTGTGTGGTTATATTGATAACTGACATCATTTATCTATCAGTAGAACTAGTGTGTAGTTATATTGATAACTGACGTCATTTATCTATCAGTAGAACAAGTGTGTGGTTATATTGATAACTGACATCATTTATCTATCAGTAGAACTAGTGTGTGGTTATATTGATAACTTACAATTATTTATCTATCAGTAGAACTAGTGTGTGGTTATATTGATAACTGATATCATTTATCTATCAGTAGAACTAGTGCATGGTTATATTGATAACTGACATCATTTATCTATCAGTAGAACTAGTGTGTGATTGTATTGATAACTGACATTGTTTATCTATCAGTAGAACTACCGTGATTATATTGATAACTGACATCATTTATCTATCAGTAGAACTAGTGTGTGGTTGCTTTGATAACTGACATTCTTTATCTATCAGTAGAACTAGTGTGTGGTTGTTTTGATAACTGAAATTCTTTATCTACCAGTAGAAGTTGTGTGTGGTTATATTGATAACTGACGTCATTTATCTATCAGTAGAACTAGTGTGTGGTTATATCGACAATTGACATCATTTATCTATCAGTAGAACTAGTGTGTGGTTATATTGATAACTGACATCATTTATCTATCAGTAGAACTAGTGTGTGGTTGTATTGATAACTGACATCATTTAATTATCAATAGAACCAGTTTGTGGTTGTATTGATAACTGACATTCTTATCTATCAGTAGAACTAGCGTGGGGTTATATTGATAACTGAATTCTTTGTCTATCAGTAGAACTAGTGTATGGTTATATTGATAACTGACATCATTTATCTATCATTAGAACTAGTGTGTGGTAATATTGATAACTGACATTCTTTATGTATCAGTAGAACTAGTGTGTGGTTATATTGATAACTGACATTCTTTATCTATCAGTAGAAGTAGTGCGTGGTTATGTCGATAACTGACATTCTTTATGTATCAGTAGAACTAGTGTGTGGTTATATTGATAACTGACATAATCTATCTATCATTAGAACTAGTGTGTGGTTATATTGATAACTGACATCATTTATATTGATAACTATCAGTAGAACTAGTGTGTGTGTTATATTGATAACTGTGTGGTTACATTCTCTATCTATCAGTAGAACAGTAGAACTAGTGTGTGGTTATATTGATAACTGAAATCTTTATTCTATCAGTAGAACTAGTGTGTGTTTGTATTGATAACTGACATCATTTATCTATCAGTAGAACTAGTGTGTGGTTATTTTGATAACTGAAATCTTTATTCTATCAGAAGAACTAGTGTGTGGTTATATTGATAACTGACATCATTTATCTATCAGTAGAACTAGTGTGTGGTTATATTGATAACTGACATCTTTTATCTATCAGTAGAACTAGATAGTGTGTGTGATGGACATTATTTATCTATCAGTAGAACTAGTGTGTGGTTATATGATAACTGACATCATTTATCTATCTATAGAACTAGTGTGTGGTTATATTGATAACTGACATCATTTATTGATCAGTGTGTGTGGTTATATTGTGTGGTGTGTATATTGATAACTGACATCATTTATCTATCAGTAGAACTAGTGTGTGGTTTTATTGATAGTGTGTGGTTTTATTGATAACTGACATCTTTTATCTATCAGTAGAACTAGTGTGTGTTGTATTGATAACTGACATTATTTATCTGTGTGTGTGTGTTATATTGATAACTGACATTCTTATCTATCTATCAGTAGAGCTAGTGTGTGGTTGTGTTGATATGTGATAAATGACATTTTTTATCTATCAGTGTACTAGTGTGTGTGTAACTGGAATCATTTATCTATCAGTGTGTATTCTGTGTGGTGTGTGGTGTGTATTGATAACTGACATCATTTATCTATCAGTAGAACTAGTGTGTGGTTATATTGATAACTGACATCTTTGTGTCTATCAGTAGAACTAGTGTGTGGTTTATTGATAACTAGAACTATGTGTTTTTGATATCTATCAGTAGAACTAGTGTGTGGTTATTGATAACTGATACATCATTTATCTATCAGTGGTTATATAGAATCTAGTGTGTGTGTGTTGTATTGATAACTGACATTATTTATCTATCAGTAGAACTAGTGTGTGGTTATATTGATAACTGACATCATTTATCTATCAGTAGAACTAGTGTGTGGTTATATTGATAACTGACATCATTTATCTATCAGTAGAACTAGTGTGTGGTTATATTGATAACTGACATCATTTATCTATCAGTAGAACTAGTGTGTGGTTATATTGATAACTGACATTCTTATCTATCAGTAGAACTAGTGTGTGGTTTTATTGATAACTGACATCATTTATCTATCAGTGGAACTAGTGTGTGGTTTTATTGATAAGTGACATCATTTATCTATCAGTAGAACTAGTGTGTTTTTGTATTGATAACTTACATTATTTATCTATCGGTAGAACTAGGGTGTGGTTATATTGATAAATGACATTCTTTATCTATCAGTAGAACTAGTGTGTGGTTATATTGGTTTTATATTAGATAACTGACATCTTTATCTATCAGTAGAACTAGTGTGTGGTTTTATTGATAACTGTATATCTATCAGTTAGTGTGTGGTTATATTGATAACTGACATATCTTTCAGTAGAACTAGTGTGTGGTTATATTGATAACTGACATTTATCTATCAGTAGAACTAGTGTGTGGTTATATTGATAATTATCTATCATCAGTAGATATTGTGTGTGGTTGTAGAAACTGACATCTTTTATCTGTGTGTGTGGTTGTATTATATTCATTTATCTATCAGATAATATCTGACATTATTTATCTATCAGTAGAACTAGTGTGTGGTTATATTGATAACTGACATCTCTTTATCTATCAGTAGAACTAGTGTGTGGTTATATCGACATTATTTATCTATCAGTAGAACTAGTGTGTGGTTATATTGATAACTGACATTCTTATCTATCAGTAGATATTGTGTGTGGTTGTATTGATAACTGACATCTTTTATCTATCAGTAGAACTAGTGTGTGGTTGTATTGATAACTGACATTATTTATCTATCAGTAGAACTAGTGTGTGGTTATATTGATAACTGACATTCTTATCTATCAGTAGAACTAGTGTGTGGTTATATTGATAACTGACATCATTTATCTATCAGTAGAACTAGTGTGTGGTTATATTGATAACTGACATCATTTATCTATCAGTAGAACTAGTGTGTGGTTATATTGATAACTGACATTATTTATCTATCAGTAGAACTAGTGTGTGGTTATATTGATAACTGACATCATTTATCTATCAGTAGAACTAGTGTGTGGTTATATTGATAACTGACATCATTTATCTATCAGTAGAACTAGTGTGTGGTTGTATTGATAACTTACATTATTTATCTATCAGTAGAACTAGTGTGTGGTTATATCGACAATTGACATCATTTATCTATCAGTAGATATTGTGTGTGGTTGTATTGATAACTGACATCTTTTATCTATCAGTAGAACTAGTGTGTGGTTTTATTGATAACTGACATCATTTATCTATCAGTAGAACTAGTGTGTGGTTGCTTTGATAACTGACATTCTTTATCTATCAGTAGAACTAGTGTGTGGTTGTTTTGATAACTGAAATTCTTTATCTACCAGTAGAAGTTGTGTGTGGTTATATTGATAACTGACATTCTTTATCTATCAGTAGAAGTTGTGTGTGGCTATATTGATAACTGACATTCTTTATCTATCAGTAGAACTAGTGTGTGGTTATATTGATAACTGACATTCTTTATCTATCAGTAGAACTAGTGTGTGGTTTTAATGATAACTGACATTCTTTATCTATCAGTAGAACTAGTGTGTGTTTATATTGATAACTGACTTCATTTATCTATCAGTAGAACTAGTGTGTGGTTTTACTGATAACTGATATTCATTATCTTTCAGTGGGACTGGCGTGGAGTTGTACTGACGGCTGGGTAAAACACGGCAACTTCTGCTTCCTCTTCAGCCATAACAAAGTCCACTGGGCCGAGGCAGCGGTTCGAATCCCCTTTTAAATTGTTTTTTACAAGAAGTCGACTAATACTATTGGCTATTATTATGCTTCCTGTCAGTTTGTCTCTATATAACCCATACCCTACTATTCTCGTATAGTGGTCTAAGGATTTATATAGCGTAAGCATACTATGCCGAAATAGTGCACGGCTTTATTTACTGAATAAAATTCTTCCATGCACATGCCGGGGATCGAACTGACGACCATGAGATTTGACGTCAGTTCGATGCCTTATCGATTACGCCATAGAGACGATCACTGATTGGTATAATTTTATGAAATATATAAACTTAATTTATACAATTGACACAAGAAGGAGAAAATAGACAAATATTATTTGAAAACAGTTATATTATTCTAAGGAACTTTAGATTAATGTGTACAACAAACTTTCAAACTAATTACATACAGATCGTTAGATGAACTGATTTTATAGGGTCATTAAAACGCTTTTTTATATGACGCTTGATTGAAGGATGTAAAAGAAAATTATCAATGAGAATCGACGTCTGCAAACAAATAAGGCTTACGAACAAAACTGAAAATAAAGATGTGTTGCTTTGGGACAGAAAATCCCGACTTATTTAGAGAAAATACTAGTAACCAAAATAACTAAGCATGCAAACAATTTTAGCATGAATATTTTGAATTAGTTCTTGCAGGTGCGCTGTTTAAGCACCGATATTTTCAGGAAAAAGTCAAATAGATTGCCGCATAAATAATTAACAGTCAGCATAATAATAACAATAGTGTTGCATTATGCATGTACTATGCCTAAATAGTAGGCAGGGTTTGACACATAGTGCACTCGCCTCCGGCTCGTGCACCATGTCAACCCTGCCTACTATTTAGGCATAGTACATGCATAATGCAACACTATTATATAATTCGAACAATGGAGATATTAATTTTGACATCCTTTCCTTTTGTATATCAAGCATTTTAGTTAACGTTTTCAACATTTGCAGTATTTTCAATTAACAGTTTACTTACAGGAAATATGCCGTTCCTTTGACTCTTTTCTGGCTGAACCAGTCTCTCACGACATCGACAGTTTTATAGTGGCAAAGACTCGTGTCACCAGTAGGTGAAATGTATCAAGTCCTATTTCTATTCATAAAGTATATTGGTAAAATTAAGCAAATACATTTCAATGTACTAAATTTGGTCATAGTGGACTTACGTCGGAGAGGGAAAAATGGACATGACCTCCTAATTAGCGGTTTTCAAGGGCTATTTTTAATAATTATCGGTTTGTTGGAACCGGGGAGGGGCGGAGCAGGAGTGGTGTGCCCTCCCAAAAATCTTCCTTTTATACGAGGACTGTTCAATAAATAATGTCTTGAGCTCTATGACATACAATATAGAAATCATATGACATTAAGCTTGACTTTCTCTCATTATTTAATGAATTGATTACAGATTATGTGACCACTTTTCGTCACACAGTTTTATTGTGAGAAGCTAGAAAACAAGGGCTATTCGAGACACTGCATTTAAAATGCATGGTAAAGAATAAGTAAACTAGAGTGAAATTAAACGCTTCATGAAAGCTGCTGTAAAACTCGTTAAGAATCCCAAAGAAATATTCCCTGAAATATGTGAAGTTTACAGCAGCCAATATCTGATTTGTAGACAATGAGCAAGTGGATTACAATGAACAAATATGATATAAAAGTCATCAAAAATGGGTACCATCCTTGGCGACAAAAACTTACAACAATTAATGTACTGATTGAAAATTCAACAAATTATCACTGATGATGTTTGATTGACTTAAAGACTATAGCAAAATTGATAGGCATCACTGTTTTAAAGAAACATTTGACAGTTAAAAAGCTAAGTACTCAATGGTCAAACATTTGACAGTTAAAAAGCTAAGTACTCAATGGTCAAACTATATTTTGAAAAAAGAGTGAAGACGACAGCGTGTAAGAATATCTAAACAATTATTTTTGAAAATCACAAATTGAAGTTATCCGCGTTTGTCTGAAATTCAAACAAATAGTTAAACTTGAATCCATTGGTTTAAATCCTCGAAAAAAACTTGCAATAAAATGGACTTGACAAAAACAACCAAGGTCTAAAAAGAGCAAAGAATTGCAAAATCATAAAAACAGTTTTATATGCCATTTTCTTAAATATTAGTGGTCTTGTTGTTCAAATTCTTATTCGGGGAGGCAGTTCAATTTCTGGAGAAGTCTAGAAAGCAAAATTTTGCAAAAAAAAAAAAAAAAAAAAAAAAAAAAAATTGAAAGGTTCATGAGGGAATGGAAGCAGAATCAGGAATCCACTACATTCAATTTCTTCATGACAGCGTCCAAACCCGCACGCCATGAAGAGTAAAGTAGATTTGGAGATGAACAGAAAGTTAATGTTTTGTCACACAAACAATATTTGCCAGATCTTTCACCCTTTTGACTTGTTTCATTTTCCAAACTTGAAAAAAAAAAACACATTTCAGAAAGAAGAAACAACTCAAGGAAATCATAGGATCTGTCACATTGCAGTATACGAAGGGCCATACTCAAAATGTGTTCTAAAAACTATAAGAAATTGAATAAAAATGTTATGGACATATGTTTTAATTAAAAGTGAATATGTAAGTGAAATCATTAAGGCTAAATCATTAAAAAGCGTTTTTTGTTTCTTTTCGAGCACCGAGGACATTATTTATTGAAGAGCCCTCGTACATTATAGAAAAAATGGCAGGAAATGGGTTCTGCGCTCCCTTCTCTCATCTACTTATTATTTTCCTCGAGTCCGATTTAGACTACGAAATTAAAAAATGAATACAGATCATATAACTTCTCTTCTACATCTTGTACAATTCAGAGTAAATTAATTTTTAAACCACAACTGACAACCATGGCTTAAGTTAGCAAGTATCTTATTGCTTCAAATTGTCCATTGAGGTGTAATATCCCTCTGATAAGAGATAACTTGCTAAGGACTATTTTCCATGAAATTCAATGAATCGTGGTGCCGGATTTTACAGAAGTTATCGATGAGAATTATTTAGTGGTCAACTCAAAAAGTCTGTTCCATGGTACAGATGTTAATTTCTAGTTTCTACTGCCTGTATTCTCCATACTAGTAATTATTTATAATAGTTTACCTAAAATATTTATACTCAGTTCCTTTAAACGTGCAAATTGAGATATTTCTATCTCTTAACATATAAGTCTATTAATTGTTACAGTTTAAGATGCAGAATTGTTTATAAACATTTAAGGTATTCAAGGTATAACGACCAAATTTTGTACCTAATAAATGAATGGTCCGATATTTTTAATCGTGGTAGCATTTTAAAGATATTATCAAATAAAAATGCTCCACCAAAAGAATTTACAAAATTTTGATTATTGTCCAATTAATTTCACCTTGAATTTTACATTGAAGTCTATGGGCAGCGCATGATTTTATCAAATATAATAAAAAATAATATTGAATTTTAAACAAATCTATTGGTGAAAATATTCATAGACTCCATCTTTATTAAACTATGAAATAAAATGAATTATTTACCACAGAAATTTTGAGAAATAAAAATTTTCTTCTTTTCGACAAGGGCAGATAACTTTTTCAAAAACTTTTAATGTCCAAAATGACCGTCTCCTTACATGTTATCAGTCTTGTGAATTTGGTTCACTTCACATTTATCGTTATCTAGCAGTGTGTTTTTAAGTAGTTTAAAATTATTTAAGGGGGCCGACTATAGTTTCCATTGCGCAATATTTCGCGCATCATAGAAAAATGCAGCGTATTTACTGTTTTAATGTAACCTTTTTCGCTTAAGTAATTAAATTAAACAAAATTATGAAATTATAGGTATAAAAATGTAATTACAATTTGATATAACTGATTTTTTAACCGATTTTGCAATTGATAGGTAGGTTGACGTCGTTGCAGTGTGTTTTTGACGTTATGATAATCTGTAGCTCTTAAAGAAAGGGGTTATAAAAATATTATTACAGGAAAAGTAATAAACATACGCTCTTGAAATTTAAAACATAGAAATTTGAGAATATCTCCAATATATTTATGATGTTTTCATGTATATGCATTGTGTACGTCATATTTTGTAATACTGTATAAAAATAGTAAAATTTGCAATTTTTTTTTTGCATTTTGAGATGCCCCCTCTGGTAACAAGACGGTAGAATTTTGTGTTTCTTACATACATTGTATAATATAGTATTACTCATCAAATATTATAGTTTGAACAAAAGGTCTATTATAGTATTTGTATAATTTGCTTTAAAGTGCTAAAAATTGGCATTTTCCTATATAATCCTATAGTAAATGTACCTGTATTTTGAGACTGTCCCTTAAAAATACCTGAACGGTAGATTTTCCCCAAACTTAGCATGTACACTGAAGATAATATAAGTTATATATGGTATAAAAATGAAGAGTTTCGCTATTGTAGTTTTCACACAATAAAACTATACTCGGCCCCCTTAAAATCATTCAAATTATTTTGTTTCACTAAAAATATTTTCAAGGGCGATAATGGAAAGATGACTCTTGTTGATGGATGCATATTATCTTACAACCACAGAAAACAATTTGATATTCTGATTTAAAAAGCAACGCTTCATTATGTTATGTAGTGAGAATTAGATATGTATGATGGTAAATATTATTTTAATACTCAATATATATCTCATATTTATAATTTTATTGTGATATAAAGATTATTGATCTTTATGTTGACCATATCAATATTCACTCACATCATGATTAAACATAACATTCATTTCTGAAAAAGCAAGCAACGCGTCATACTGCAAACTATTTTCCATTTGAATCTAATGCTATTGTTGTTGATGAAAATCAATGTTTGGAATTAACAAAAAAGTTGGTGAAAGAAGTGCGAACGATAGTATTGTTCTCCTGCCTACCTCCAAGTCAGTTTTCAAAAGTTAAGATAATTGAATGATTTTTAGTATATGTTTATATGGATTTTCATAGAACATTACTTATTTGGGAAAACAACGAGAGATAACTCTAAAATTTTAGTAAAACTCGTGTTTCTCACTATAGAAATCAAAGGAAAACGGAAAATATTTTTAAAGTACCCCCCCCCCCCAAGTGAAACACAAATTCCTTTTTACGGATAATATCCACTGTCATTCCACAAATTCATACAAAAGCTTTTTGTGTTTCACGGGGGGAACATAGGTTTACAGACAAAAAACGACAAAAATGCTTATTTTTCCAGCTATTTCGAGGTGCTTTACAACTGAAACATTGTATTTTACTAGTATATATGCTTAATTTTATATGCATAAAACATTAAAAAAGATTTAAGAAACATTTATTCATATCAAATACTATTTCAAAATATGTTGATGATTTATAGCCCGATTTCAGTGGAAAATAACGTCTACATTCCTTATTTCAAGAGCTGGAATTCGGGATATCTTACATTTTAGCATTGGTATTTAAATAATTAATTAATTACCATTGAACTGTTCTTTGTAAGCAAAATTGTCATCAATATTGAGTAAAATGGATATAAAATGTAGGCAATAATCTAGAGTTCGCGCGCGTAGTTCTTTGGAGCAGAGGGATATTTCACCTTAAGGTTCACTAAAACTATGAACTGACCCATAAAATTTGTTCGATCATACATTTTGTAGGCCCTAAGAGGATATACTGGCTGGGTGGCTCCGACTTGCAGGAGGAGGGGACGTTTGTATGGACGTCCCTGGGGCAGCCTCTCTCCTACACAAACTGGATCCCTGGGGACCCCAACAATGCTAACGCGGGAGAGGACTGTGTAATCGCCAACTGGCTGGGGGACGGGCGCTGGGCAGACGCCGAATGCGAGTGGGTGGAGTATTACATCTGTCAGAAAGAGTGAGTACAACCCAGGCCTTATAAAACTACAGTCAAAACATAGGAAAAGAGTGAGTACAACCTGGGCCTTATAAAGTTACAGAGTGAGTACAACCTGGGCCTTATAAAGCTACAGAGTGAGTACAGCCCGGGCCTTATAAAGCTACAGAGTGAGTACAGCCCGGGCCTTATAAAGCTACAGAGTGAGTACAGCCCGGGCCTTATAAAGCTACAGAGTGAGTACAGCCCGGGCCTTATAAAGCTACAGAGTGAGTACAGCCCGGGCCTTATAAAGCTACAGAGTGAGTACAGCCCGGGCCTTATAAAGCTACAGAGTGAGTACAACCCGGGCCTTATAAAGCTACAGAGTGAGTACAACCCGAGCCTTAAAGTTACAGTCAAATCATAGGAATCAAAGAATAGAAACACAGAGAATGGATTGTGCAATGATTGAATTTTCATCGAACTTTCATGAGAACTATATATTACCCATAATTATACTTATGGGTGATAACAAACAAATTCAACAAACAAACACACAGAGGAAAAATATTTATTCCTGAACTTTTCTATTTCATTTCCTAGTAAGTCATATAACTTTTACAAAATACTTGGATTTACAGAAGAAAGGTTAACTGTTTTGAAACCTAGTGTATGAATAACTTAGTGTTTGTTGTAAATTTTTCTTTATTAATTTTTGGTTTAATTTCAGGAGTGATGATGAGACAACGATTATCGGATGAAATAAACATACATGTCAAACAAATATTTGTACATGTTTTTAATTCAAACATAAATTTCTTGGTCTTAGATGTGACTATACGAGGTTCACCAACTGATGCTGTACAACTCTTCTGGCTGACCTTTTCCAATAATCAATTAACCTACCATTGAAGTCTATTAAAATCTAAAATTAACTGGGTTGCAATGAGCAAGCTAACAAAATGGTATTCCTCAGCAACTGTTCTGATAACCAGTATTTCTCAAAAAGAAACAATTTTATACTCCTCCCATTGACCCTGAGCTTGCAAAAAAGACCTGGAGTCAAGGACATAATACACTCAAGATAACAAGTAATCTATTTCTCCATTATATATACCATACAGTATATTTTTTGTACAAGAGACCTTGAACTTGCTTAAGTGACCCTGAGTCAATGAAATGATAAAATCTCAGATGCAATCTGTCTCAACTCTCAAGTATGAACTTGCAATGTTTCTCCATTTCAAGTTAAGACAAAGATGGGATAAATATTATTTTAAGTGACCTTGAACTGCCCAAACAACCTTGAGTCAATGAAATACTTTAGTGAGTCAAAATCCTGTATAAACTTCAATGTTTTTCCATAGAAAAAACAAGAAATAGAAGAAGCTCATGCAACTGAGCCTCTGGCCCAGGTGAGTAAAAACAGTTAAACAGGTGCCTTGTAAGAACAGTTTTATCATGAAATTGTTTAAACAAATACCAAGACATCAAAACAATTTTGTTTCCACAATAAAAATAATTTAAGCAACATCTACAAATTTAAATACCTAAGATGTCTTTGCCATGTTCTTCATTGAAACACTGATAAAGCTGCAATACCATCTTACAATGTGAACACATGCCAAACATTTTTTTCATTTCCCTATGGCACTGCAAGGATTGATCTTACAAAGACCTGGACAAAAATTCACAATTATTTTGTATAGGGCACAATTATACAGTTATTCACAGATATCAAATGTCTCAAAGAAGAACATGTCAAGATGAACATGTATGTACAGTGTTCTGTACAGTGTGTAAGAAATGCTACGACTTCTATATGTACAATTATTTACAGGAATGACAGATTTAAAACTATAGCCTAACCTTTATCAGATGTTATGTACATATATCTCTGACACTTGATCACACATAATGAGTTAGCACTTTACTAAATCACATTCACTTCAAATCAGTAACAATGTCTGTAGCACTGTACTCGATGGCATTCACAGAAATCAGTACCAATAACTTTAGTACTGTAAAAAAAGTATTCATTACATCCAGAACTTTGTGTGACAATTCTTCAACATATTCATTCACTTCTGAATATTAACAACATGAGCATATGTGACAAGAATGGCAATTTGTTGAGTGATGCACATAAAATAAAGTGGTAACGAGGCTGATAATAAAACACACAAGTTCTATACAGCACACAGAAGGCTAACATTAGCACTGATCAAGCTAATCTGTATATACAAAAAAAAATATCACAATTGCTGTGTTCTTGCTATGTACATTCTCCATGACCATGCATCACTTTATAACATTACTCACCAGAGTACACAATAAATATACACTGTACAATGTTTTTATCTATTGCCAAAAAAAGTGGCAAAATGGTTGTACACCAACAATGCTTCCAAAGGAAGTCAATTTGTAAACTATTCAGGCCTTAACTGAATTCATCAACTCAGTGTAAAACATGTACAGTCAATTTTACCTTACCAGAGTTTATAAGAAAGATTTTTTCAAGAGTGAAGGAGTTGCTCTATCATCCATAGTTTATAAGAAAGATTTTTTCAAGAGTGAAGGAGTTGCTCTATCAACTCATCAACAATGAAAATGTAGTTTTTTTCACATAAAGTTATTTTATTTGAAAATATTTATTTTTAATACATGCATATCAATATTTTATATTGGGAATTCAGCTATAATTTCTCTGTAACTGTGTTGTTGACAATCTCTGTCCATAGAAAAGATCAATTTGATCTTATATAATTAATTTTTAGTTTCTCATGCCAAACATTTCAAAATCCAATTTTGCAGACAGGTCTTCTTTTATATAATATCATTAAATTAAATTTCATATTAACTCAGCTTTAAAAAATGTTACACTGTATTGAAAACATTTTTTAACAAAAAATGAACATATTAAGTACCATTTTCAAAAAGAAAAACATGCTATTGTGTCATTAATAAAAATTTTTTTATTTGCAAACATGAAAGGGGCATAACTCAGTTTTCCTTTTAAACAGAGAAAAAAAGAAATAGTTGGATTTCCCATTTCATTGCCCCGGTGCCTGAAAAACCAGATTTTTTTTTTTTTGCCTTATTCACGATCTTAAATCTAAAATAAGGTGCTATACAAATTTTGCTGTATCAGATTTGGGGGTGCCGATGGTATACAGATCACATAAATTGTTTATATAATACATCTCACACAATTGCTGGATTTCTGTATTCTGCTATATGAAGAAAAGCTAAGAGTCATTCTTGGATTTCAGTTTCCTAACATCTGTTATTAAGTTAGCATGTGTCAACAATATATTGATTCATTCTGCATCTGATTACATGTGAAAGTTACCAAAAATATATCTTATAATAATCGAAACACTGTCTTTCATAACTTGGCATTGGAGTACACTGAATGAAGCAAAAAGTACCATAAGAACTCCAGCAAACAGATGTAATGGAATCCACTTTCTTCTCTCTCTCTCTCTTTTGTTTTGTTTGTTGTTAGTTTGTTTCACAGATAGAAAACTTGAGGGAACCACTGAAATCTTTGACACTATCACTACAAGCTTTCTCTTGTACAACACTGTCAGGTGGGGCACTCAGTCTTTGTTTGTTTTGTTCTCCTCCTCCTCCCCGGTATCAGGGTTATCTCCCCCTGTCTGTGAGTTGTTCTGGTTGTTCAGTTGATTGACAATCTGGTCATGTGGTACAGCTGGCTGCTGGGAATTATGGGAAGAGTTCACATGATTGTTCTGGAACTGCTGATTGGTGGACCCCTCTTGTTTGGGTTGACTGGTTCCCACCTCCGGTTTCCCTGATGAGGTTCCCTGTTGAGGGGATTGCCTGGCTTGATATCCAGGTGGGTTTTCATCTGGGTGTGCTGCTTCCTGGTCATCTGAAAGCTCAGCATCATCTGGCTCCTAAAAATGTTAAAATCATTTTATAATAGAAAGGCCATTGCATTAAGGATATAGCTGAGGAAGTTTATTTCAGTAACTTTTTTCAATATTGAAGTTCCATTCTCTTTCTTAATACAAGCAGATCAAAATAACTTGTATCAAATGCCAGAAAATTTCCCTCTCCAATTGCTGGATAGTTACTTAAATGAGGCTTTTTGTTAAACTGACCATACCTCATCAGGACAAAGTTCATATGCTTTTGATAAAGTCACTCTAGCACTGTGGGATCTCTCCAGGAAATATCTAAAATAAATATATGTATATTTGTGTTATAGATTGGGTGGAATTAAAAGAAGACAACTTTTCTAACATCAATTTTCAAAAGATTTTTTTTACATACAGTAAACATGAGTTTTCATTTTTTACGAACTCTTGATTTGACAAATCTATTGCTATCTAACCACATGAAACATGAAGTCATTTAGAAAACCTATACGGAAATTTTTAGTTTCTCCTTACCCATTAGAAGTCTCGTTGGACTGGGCGGGTGGAGACCAGTTGTTGTAGGTGTACTGGGCGTTCCCTGGGTAAGGCCGTCTCTCCAGTTCATCATTCAGCCACTCCACGGCCCACGTCCACTTTCTCTTCACATCTCCATTGCTCTGTAACATCTCCGCAGCAGGTCCACAGCTACAATAACATGTATATACAGATGTATATTTTTATATATCTAGAGTGATTCCCAACTAGAATCTTTGAATCAAAGTTTTAAATACAATAGATTTTTTATACTTACAGTGTAAATAAGGAAACCATCATTTTGATACACTGGTAAGCTCGCTTCTGGTAATGGTTTTTGGATCTCTGAATAGTGTCAAATAATCCGTCTCTGTCGTCAGGAATTCCTACAATTCATAGCAGTAAACATCTAGTTATATCATCCATTATTAACCTTGGACATGCTAAAGAGCAATGTTCCTAGTCATTTCATAATATTAGCTAAAAGAAAAAGTATGTTCAAGATATTTAAGCAGACCAGAAATTGCAGTTATGGTACCTTTGAGAGCATTATGAATTCTATGATTCTGCCAGGAATCTTCCAACAACAACATCTGTAGTAGCAGGTCTAAGTACGGTCTTAACTCGTATGTATAGGAATAGGCCACCTAGAAAGATCAAGATTTTGTGTCAATCTGAAATTCAAAATACTTTCAACGAAAAAGATAAGTTCTAGATCTGTACTTACAAGTAATACACATTATATGTTTTACATCACTGAATTACAGTACACAAATAATCATGCCACTTAAATTACCTGCCAAAGGAGTTCACTCAAAACGGTTGATGAAAAGTGAGGATTTTCCCAACTACAGAACTGCAACATAAAAAGAATATATATTTACTTAAAATTCCATTTTCCAGCAACAGAAATACTACAAATAAAGAAGGAATACCCTCATTTGATCCTCCTCTTAAACTATGTACACTCACCCTTAGGAGTTTACAAGTGTCCTCTGAATTGTTACAGTCCTCTATCAGTTTCTTGACGTATCCGGTCTTGCCGTACAACAGATCTCCCACCTGGGGCTGCAGTGGCATCAGAGGCTGGCTGATGGAGGAATCCCCGTACGGGTTTGGTTTGGGAGGATCCCCCTGCTACAATAAATCAACAATTTTATTCTAATAATTCCACAAATCGGAGCAAAATTAAATAGATCTGTGTTTATACAGGATTTATTTCTACCAAAGGCTGAAATGCAACTAATTCACAAGTAATATTATCAGATCTGTAATTCAAATCATGTATTTTGTTAATTTATGGAAATATAATTTTAATCTTTCTGTTGATTAGAAGAATCCTTTAAAGATTTTTTAGAAGAGTATGAATGATTATAAAAAAATTA